AAGCTCACGTGTCCCTTATTTGAGGGACCAGATTCTGCCGTAAATTCGGGATGGGATTTAGAAAAAAATAAAATGGGACTTTTAGGGTGTATTTTGGCGTCATTTTCGGACATTTCAATCATTCCTGAATGATGCGTGAATTGAATGAACTATGACCCGTACAATCTCGATTTGCATATTGTCAATCAAAGGTCCTGTTATTTGGTTACTCATGCAAATTAGGCAATTGGACATAAACCATGCCACGTGCGAGTGTTTTTTATTTTTAACCAGAAAATAAACAGCAATTTTAACGGTGTTCCAATAAGAATTCATTGGTCAAATTTTCACAGAATGTTCTTTAGATAAAAATCTATATAAAAAACGAAAAAAACTATTTTTGATTGAAATTCACAAATAAACTGCATCTCTACCTTAATTTAAACTTAGGAATTTTCATATAAACAATTTGAATGGACCATTGAACTGTGTGGTGAACTCTCCCAATACTAAGTATGTTGGTATGTCAGTCCAAACACAAGTGATTTTACATAATGAGTTTCATTGTCTCGCATCATTGTACCAGTAAATAATTTTCTGGATACTGTAAAAGCATTAATTTTACAAGGCACTACTTTCACTACTTTGAGCATATTCACTGGCTTGTAAATTCATATATTTACAATGAGCTCTATTGTAATTTCTCACATTCAAATGGTTCTGTATGTCTTGTGTTACTAATAGTTTGTTCCTATCAGACTTAGTCCGAAAAAGTGACTTTTGTTTTGGGTTCGGTCCTGCATTTGACCAATTTTATTACTCATAGTGGGTTAATAATGCATGTAATTTTGTTTCACGATTTGATTCAATATGGCCGACTGGCTGCCATTTTGTCTACCCATTTCTCAAATACATTTCAACAGATTATGTTTAAATTTGGTATAAAGGCAGGATATTTTGGGTTGCATGATCCTCTCTGGTATTTTTAGATATTGTTGAATTTAACTAACTAGCAGCTATTTTTGTCAAAAAAATATTAAAAATCAATCAATCATTTCTCATGCATGCCTGGGAAGATTTCATTCACACTGGTAATTAACTCCGCCTCTGTTCACTAAGTAAATGCTTATCATTCCCCCTGTCCTGCTAATCCCGCAAAACAACAACTGATATAAACATGACAATTGAATTTCAAACCAAGTACACATTAGTCTGTTTATGGAACTATAAACCACAGGAAGAACAACCACTTTGTTTCCTTTGAACTATGATAGTTGCCGTGATGTTGAATGTTTATTTTGACTGTTTATTTCGTTGCATTAAAAAATAAGCCAATTTACGCAAATGAACGTTAATCTTCGACTATCGATCATTTTCGGAGTCAATCGGGCGACTTTGGGAGATCACGTGATTGAGCTGTTTTGGTTATAGCATAAAAAAAACAATGGCGCCAAGACAAAAACACTGATAAATGAGCGACATTCAACGGGGAAAAAAAACACATTGCCACTTCTGGCGATCGAAGGGAAACACGGAATAAGTTGGGATATCTCGACAGCATACCAAACCCCATGTTTCGCAAACTTTTGCAACCTTATTTTTTCGAGGGTTGAAAAAAACAAGAAGTAATCCAAAAACAACATTGAAAATGATGAAAACTCGCTAAACTCCGACCCGTTGCACGACTTCCGGTACACTGAAGGTCACCCTGCAGAACAACTTGTTTGCGCATGTGTAGTGAACAAAATATTTTACTGCAAAGCGGTTGATATGGGCGTATTGGCAGCAACTAACATGGCGTATGACTAATGTTGTGGAAACAAAAGCGAAAGCACTGTAAGATAAACTAAGACAAAGGTTTTTATTAATCCTCTTAGTTACGTTGTTCTTCCTGTGGTTTATAGTTCCATGGTCTGTTCATTCATTTGCGTCTGTTGCGTCAGTCGATTGACGGTACTAATCTTGTATACAGTAAAACTGAGAATGAACCTTCTTATGCACATTCCGTATACACACTACTCCTCCAAACTGCTAATATAACAAGTGGGAAAATATCTCTGGCCAAGGACTTTGGCTGTATGTGCAAGTTAGGTATCGGATTGTATCTCGTGTAAGATTAGAGTTCTTGTGGTCTAGCAGGTGAACGCTGGGTTGACTTTACAATCAAAATCAATTAAGCGGCGAGAAAGATATGAGCATTGTATCAATACAATTTAACCGTAGACTCAATTTTAACGTCCCATCTACAGCGTTGTAATTATTACAAAATCAACATTGTTTCAATGTAGAAAAAACAAATGGGCACATCTTGGTAGTCAGTTTCATTCAAACGTGGTGTCAATCAACCTCAAAACTCATATCTCAAGAAGAATGCTCTGAAACTGATCACTTATGTTAGGTGAAAACTGGTTTCATAATTCGTACTTGTAACTCTCTACTGTCATCATTACTTTCGCTGTCTTCATTCATTCTTTGCGGTATCCTTGTAACCTCATAATATTGTACCAGTCTATTTTGTGGATACCATATTCTATATGCTAAACAATTCTGCATATAAGTGACAAAATGTGACAATAGTGCTAAATTGAGAGTGAGTGCTTTCAGGAACCTAGTTATTTTAGTTTTAACTGATTAATAAAACAGTACCACAACCTGTCCATAATGCGTCTGACGTACATTTTAATGGCTTTCTTGGGTTGGCTACTTTTATGAGATTGACGGGAGTTGTACTGGTGTTTGGTAAGCTGTATGCTACGGACCACTGTTTTAACAGTTAGCAGCAGTGTATTACATATTAAAATAAAATCATATGAATATATAATCATATCTATATTACATCATATATGTGTGGCTTGGGAAATACCATAATATTACGGTATGTGACTTATGTGTAGAACAGCTTTTATACAAGTCAAGTGCAATGAATGATAAGTCATTGACCCCTCCCTATTTGAAGACTATGGCTGTAAATCACACTGTTTTTATGTATTTTCTACTTTGAATCAGTCACAGTTTACTGACAGATTCCTTTTCTTATCTTTAATTTTAGGGTTATGTTGGTGTTATACTGGATCGACCTGAATTACCTATCTCACCTGAACATTTCACCACTTTATTTGGAAATATAGAAGAAATATATAACTTTAATAAGTAAGATTGTTGATTAAGATTGTTTTTATTCTATCCTTCTGAATATAATGTTTCACTGATAAACAACTTGGAATTTGTTTTTTTCCACTTTTTTCACAAGAATATTTATTCATTTGAGCATTCACAATTCAAAGGTCAATCCACAGTGATGTAGATAAAAGTTAGTTTACATCAAAAATGCTATAAAAAGTATCTTACTGCTACCATATGCCACCTACACATATTTATGTTTTATAATCGTTTCCAACCATTCATTGACACTTCTTAAGTGATATTGTGTGCAAACGCATACATAATTCTAAAGAAATAATATGCCAATGGTTTCCTATTATTCATTTTACTGGGTGATTTCTTTTAACTTAAGTACTGGTATGGCTGAAATGTACACGTTTGCCTTTGTACTTGTTTGTATTCACCCTCTACTGGGTGTATGAATGACTTCCCATGAATTGTTATGATTTCCTGTTTTCAAGCAGTTGGTGGTTTTGTCGTAGAGCAACTTAAGCATCATTGTGAAATAGCCATTTGTTTTATAGCCCTGTTTAACTGTATTGTGTGGTCTGATGTTCAAAGTTGTCTTTATACCTAGGCCAACTTCTAATAATAAAATGCTTTGTACTTTCAAATGGTTGGTCAAAGTGTTCAAACTGGAAATTATAAAATTCTGTTATTTATTTAAAATGTTGCAGATGAAATTCAAAATAAATGTATTAAAGCATGAAATATTAGAAGTGGCAAGTATAATCAGCCTGTCTCTGGTAACTGGTCATTAGTTTATGCCATTTTCTCAAATTTTATACACAGGTGTTCTATGGTGATCCATAGTTTTTGATACAAATCTGCGCTGTTTAATAATCTAGTTTGCATAATAAGCTACATTTGACTTAATATTAAAAAAAATGCCATATACATGTCATATATAATTTAAGGTTCTCCTCAAGATGTGATAAGCGCATAGAATTAAAGTTAAGATTATGAGTGAAATTGTCATCGATTGTACCGGTATTACAATCATGTATTTTCTCTTCAGGTCTTTGTTGGATGAGTTAGAAAACACTGACAATGATCCCATACAAGTAGCTGAATATTTCGTCAAAAAGGTAAGTTATATATCTATACGTTATTTGAAGCAGTATGTAATTTTATCCAAGCAAATCCTAATTTTTATTACCCAATATTAAAGGACATTTACATACATGTACCAAGTGTGATAACAAATCTTCATATACTCCAAAGATTACAGTTAATAATTGTCTTGTCGTCTCAGTTTTGTGAGTTTACTTGTCAAATTTTGTATGGTAATCTGAATGTCCTTTGTCCCTTGAATGCCCCTCAGCGGCAATCATTGCAGCAACCTGGCACAAAAATCCTGGGCAAATTATTTTTTTTGTGTGTGAGTTGAGTTGTACCATTTCTTTTTTCAGGACAAAGTGTTCAAGTCATTGTATTGTTCGTATTGTACAAGTTATCCTACTTCCATTGCGGTGCTTACAGAATTATCAAAAATTAAAGAAGTGATGGATTTCTTGGAAGAAAGACAATCAGCTTTGCACCATTCACTGCCATTGGGTTCTTATTTGTTGAAACCTGTACAGAGAATACTGCGATATAGACTTCTTTTTCAGGTCAGATATTCTCAGTAACCTTTTCAATAACTTGTTTCAGTGTCACCCTTCAATATTTATCTTAAGTTTCTGTTTTTGTTGGGGCAGACAAAAAAACAAAATTTTATAGTATGTGGTACAAAGGGAAGTAGGCATTAAGTTAATTGTCCCAACATGGAATCATAATTATAACATGAGCCTCTGGATTTCCCTATGCCTCATTCTGACAGGATGCACATATTTATCAGGTCAATGCCCTGCTATATAGAATTATTATAAATAAATAATATCAATATTTACAGAAAGTTTATCACAAATTTGGCCGATGTTTTATCATGAAAAGTAATAAAATTATTTGCTTTTTAAGTTTTATCTGATGAGCATAGTAGGTCACATACTCGTAATTTGGACCAGAATATTATAAAAATAGTAATACATGTATTAAAGATTTGTGCCTTGCATGCCTCAGCATACATCTCTAGGATTAGCAAATGAATTGGAGGAATAAATACAATGTGACAAAGGAATACAGCTAATTGAATATTTAAATCAACAACTTTTAATAATGATAACCTACAGAAAAATTTATAGCTATTTGAATTAAATAATTTACATATGTGATATGACAAATTTATATTTTATAAAGTTGTTTACTGCATTTATCTTGTATTTTAAATTCAGAGTATCCATCAACATTACAACAAGAAGGCTGATGGGTTTCATATTGTAGAGAAAGCATTAGATACTATGACAGAAGTAGCTGAGTATATTAATGATATGAAGAGGAAACATGAAGCTGCTGTACATGTACAGGAAATACAGAGTGTTTTACATGGATGGGGTGTAAGTACTCAATTAACCTTACCATACAAGTCCCATCACTTTGTTATTTACACTAAAAATAATATTAATTGTATAAACATTGGGTTTGATATTAGTCATCTGCTACTACTGTAACCTTGAAGAAGGTTAATGTTAAGTGTATGTTAGGTATAAGGTCATGTGTTCTGTTTGACTACAACTAATCCTCATCCAATGTCAATTGATCCATGATAACATATTTGCACATTTTAGAGGTTGTCTCCATTAGGCTAAACATCAGTCAGACTTGAAGCCCATGCAAATACCTTGACAAATAGCAATGAACTTACAACCTCTTTTAAATTTTGTTATTATTGGATAGTGCAACAACTTCTTAGAATGTCTTTTACTTGTCCTTTCATCTTTATTATTAATAAATAGTTATTTATAATATTACATTCACTTTCTGTTCATGTTGAGTCGTATATTTGATTCATTATAGAAGTGTATAACTGGAATGTCCTCACAACCAAATTGTTTGTGAATATCATATTCCCAATTAGTAATGTGTTACATTTGTTTTTTGAAAAATGATAAATTTGGATGTTTGTTTTATTTCAGGGTACGTTGACATCATATGGTGAATTAGTACTAGAGGTAAGCATGTCCAGTGCTGTAGGTGAAATACATGCAGTCAATGGCATCATGATTATAATTATCATAATCACAGATTAATAAAAATAACTATTAGCCTTGGAAATACAGTCAATGAAACAGCTGGTTACTTCACTGATTGGAAGTAATATCCTGCAATATAAACCTCTGAAAACATTGAAATCATAACAAATAAGTGAAATAACACCAGTGTATGTTTGATATATTCTCATACTTTGCATTGTGTTTGTGTAGAGGGGAGGACAATTATGACAAGAAACTCTTTCGTGGTTTCACTTGTACAATACATGACTATATAATACATTACCGTATACCTGAAATTGTATTATTGAAATTATTTTTTATAGGATACTTTTCACATGGTTGGTGCTAGGGCTGGAAGGTATTTGTATTTGTTTGAAAAAGCACTTTTAATTGGTAAAAGACGAGAAGATGGATTGATCAGTGTGAAGGCTGATATTTTGGTAAGTCATAGTGTATCATGTTAGTTGAAGTATACATCCAGCATATGATTGGAACATCTTGATGACAATTTACCGGTACTGATACATTGCTTCTCATACCTTATCATACGTGTCTAATCCAATGTATATCAGTCTGATATGGTTGACTTGTAATAACCACTATTTCTGAATTCTGAGTACCTTGAATACAAACATGTGTGTTTTTGGAACGTATTCACTGTGTTTCTTGCACTGCATCATGAGAAAAGGTCAATATTTGCTTGACACAATCGAAAAACTGATTGACGTTCTTCTGAGTGTGTTTTGATCATGTATCAACTTGGTTGTCCAAAATATGTTGAAATACTTAAGTTTACAGGTTGCAAATGGATAGAAAAATAAATGGGCATGATCTGAACTTGGTCCCATTTCTGAGCTGTCACATTATAAAACAGTATATAATTACTGTTTATTTGAGAAAATATTTCCCATTTTGGATTCTTGGTCTAGTTGAGGATACATCTAGTAACTAAGAACTGCATTTCATAACATAAATGGTTTGTTTTGGAGTGTAATATATTGGTCAACCAATATTCTATAATTTTGATGAGTTGATGTGTTCCAGTGACGAGTAAAAAATAGACAACATAAGTTTGAATAAAGATTACAAATTTAACATGAAAAAGATGTTGAAAACTGCATTTGTATAAATTTTATTCAATTAAAATACTCAACATCTGAATGAATGTCATAACTCCACAACTCTTATGTTGAATTGAGTGTTCATTGCATTTTATTTTGCAATTCTGCACAAAACATTGTGCGCTATGTGTGGTTTGTACTGTAGAACACAAAACACCCCCCCCCCCCCAGGAAGTTTGAAAGTTCAAATAGAGGTTTTTGAGGTACTGAGAATTATGTTAGTCTGTGCACCTCGGTTTCTTTGGCTGAGGTTTGTGTGCTTAAAGTTTATATGCCATGTAATTCTCTAATGAAGTAGAAGAAACATGTGTTTTGTAAGAAATGTGCTTTTGTTTATAGAATCTTGTTATCTTTGTTTTCTTCCAGTGTTCAAATATGGTTCTACAAGAGATGGTTTTAAAAGATAATCTTTGGTTTGGTATCTATCCGTTTGATAATAATAAAGTTCAGTACATTATTCAGGTAATATTATAGTGAACCTCAGAACAGTTCTATTTTAGTAACTTTCTTTGAATTTAATTATATTTGTAAATTTTGTACATTCCACCACTTATTGACATGAATTGATTATTTGAAATAAATAAATATGGAGAGAGGGTCTCTCTTCCAAGTCTTCTAACTAATTGTCAATGTGTATTGAAACATAAGTGAAACAATCCCATGTCAAATTTAACTGTCATTACTATGTTACATTTAAAATGTTGTTTCTATAGTCACGATGCATGGAGCAGAAAAGACGATGGACACATCAATTGAAAAGATTGATAATAGAAAACCATCCATCAGTAGTTCCAATGCATGCTAAACAAGTTATATTAGACCAGGACAGGGATAAACGTAAGTTGTTGCCACAAAATAAGGATGGTTTTTATTCTGTGATCATGTTTACAGAAGTAACAGTTTGTTTATATTTTCGTGGTATTGACTGGGGTATCTGTATCCTGCCTAGGAATATAGCTCAGTCTATATTTAATAATTACCAATGACTACTATTATTAGCTACCACTTTCTATATATTATATTTATCAGTTGTAGCAGCTCTCTATTGAGAATATACATGTACCACATTCACATTGTTATCCATAATTTGGTTGTTACTCTCTCTGTATTGTCTTCATGTAGACTTTGTGGTATCCTCATAATAGCTGTATATTTATTGTCAGTATATTAAATGAGATTATCATCCATATTACATAGCTTTTTAAAAAAACAAAAAATCACTGATGAAGTAATTTCATAAAGGTATGTGCAATGTCCTAGCGCCCCCATATGGTCACTTTGAAAAATCTTTTTTTTTATTCTATTATTTGGAAGTCAACTAGGCACAATTTTATCGTGAGTGTAACCTTGGCTAGGATTATGTACATTACCGGTACTTTCAAATTTTCAAGAACAAGTTGAGATATGTTAATGCTTTTTTTTACATAAGAAAGTTCTGCTAATGCATTGTTATATGTTGTAGATTATGGATCAGATGATAGTCTTGACCTTCTCGATAGAAGAGATCATCACATCAAATATAAAGATGAAAGGAAAAGTAAAAGACATTCGAAGAAATCAGATCCCAATATTAGAAAGATCAGAAGAGGTTCCACACAACTCAAAGGTGCACATCCATGTATATTGAAATTTGAACTAATTATTTGTATGTAGCAGGAGAGAGGGTTGTTTGAATGAACTACAGTGGGTTCTTGATTGCTTGTTGTCACATTGCTTGGCTTTTACTCAATAGGTCAATTTCTGACGAGCTTTTGAAATGTTGCTACAGTTGGGTGATTATATTTATGGGTTTTCAAATTGGGAAAAATATGTTATCCTTGCATTTATATATATCTGATTAGGAAATGTATTCATTTTGCTATATTTGAAACGTATGTATTCTCAAATATGTATGTGCAGCTATGAATATTTGCACATGTAATATACTTTGAGTCCACTGATATATTTTTCTTCTGCTTCAATATAAAATAGCTTGTTCATTTCAAAGCTTGTTCTTTTTTGTTCAGCAGCAGTATAAAAATTTAAATTTTGTGCACAAAAACAAATTCTATTGTTTGCTTGCTTTAACTTCAGTTTTTACCCCTGTATACATTCACATTGCGTTCTATACATATATATGTACATTGGTGTTCTAAAACTTTCATACTGTCATATCTTATTAACATTCATTCGGTCTTGTTTCCATGCTGCATTAGCGGGTGGAAAAACAATTTTGCATGGTGAGTTACAGCTTGCATCTTGGCTACCATGATGTATATCATAGCAATGTAACGGCAATAATGCATGTTTATTTGGTTTTGTGCAAGAAACTGGCTACAACCAAATAACCATTTTCCCATGGAATTTACCTTTATGCCCAAGTGTTCCACCTCTGTGTATGAAGTATTAACAATTGCTCTCAAAAGTAAGAACAGGATTTCACGGTTTAAATATTCAGCATGTATTTGTAACAAATACAATTTTACTTACTTATTAAATGTTGTGATATTGCATCGCTAGGTTTAGATACTTTCTTGTCCACTAATAGAACCTGTTTTTAATATGAATGAATGAATTAACTAACTAATTTCCTTTCATGTGCTTGCCTTTTTTGGCCATCCCAATAGCCATGGATATAACACTTGGTGAGTAATGCAACATGAAATCCCAACTCATGTACAGTGCATGATATTTTCACATAGTAGTAGTCTTGACATAATTCATAGTATGACAAAGGTTATGAATAATATGTGAATTTAAGGTAGCGAGACTATTATTTGTGTTGAAAATTACGATTTTCACATTTATTTATTAATTGGTGAAATGCACTATAAACTTTCATGTGATAAAGTCAACATAACATAGAATGTCATGTAAGTTGGTTAAAATGTAGATTTTCTGAAGGGAAGCAAGGCAGCCTCAGTAGTGTTTTCCAAAATCAACAACACAGGTTTAATCTGTGTGCCTATAAGTTTCAAAGATAAACTCAAGACAAAGCAATGTTAGGATGTGTTATCAGTAGCTATCTGACACACAATTAGTGTTTCCATACATTTGAGTGGTTTGTCTCCGCCCCTATTTGTTTCACAGATTAGTCATTTGCATATGAATGTGTCAGACACAAGGTCACACAGCCACTGAAAAAAATCATTGATTTTGGTGTTTTAATATGCCGAATTTATCCAATTATAGCTATCCCATTCCTTTATTTTTTTGGTTTCCAATAGCCTTACACATTTGGATGTCCCTACACATGTTAAAACAAACCTTGATGGGAAAACAAATTGATTGTGCCGATAAACAAGCTTGAAAGTCTTTGCTGTTACTTCATGGACGTTTTCTAGAAGTTTATGTTTTTCAAAATACTGTAAAGGGGGTAATTATTCACTGGGTTTTAATTTAGCTTATTTCGCTGACTGGAGAAATGCGCTAAATTAAAACACAGTGAATATGTAAAATTTAGCCTAGAACACATTATCTAAATGACGAAACCGTGAATTTAAAACCCACTAAATATGCCTGAAATGGTAAATCAGTGAAATTTAAACCCAGTGAAAATTAGTCATTTTACAGTACAAGGTCTTTAACAAAAAATAACGTATACTTATTATCGTCGGATTAACACCAAATTGTCACAGCTTTAAGGTGACAGTGAGAGGAACTTGAATGTGTCCAGACAAACTATTTCATCGATTATTTACCAACGAGTCGTGGTTTGAGTTGGAGGCAATGCGACTAAAACAGTAATTGAAATTCAGCACACTATTTTTTAAAACGCGTTGCTTGAATAAAACTGACCAGACACATTCAATTTACCAGACAAGTGAAAAAAATACTTCTTATCGCCAGCATAAATGCGTAATTATTTTTTTTACAGAAAAAGTAATTTTTCACCTTTGGTTGAGTAACGCGTCGTAGAATGCAGATACGGGCATGCAAAATACACTTGTGAAAAGCTTGAAGTCTGGCGATTCTAAAAATATATACTTTCCCAGGTCTATTTGTAGTCATTTAGTCACAATTAGAAGATGAAAACAAGTATGCAAATAATAGTCCCGCTACCTTAATCAATTAAAAATAACACAACTCGTAATAATGTTTGTTATTGCTGTAATTTAATTGTACCTTATATAATGTCTCCTAACTCAAAGCATACACACTGTGTTATTGATCATTAGCTGTTCTATTTGACAATAGTGGAATTGTGACATTCACTAACAAATACTATATTTACTCTTTTTTGTGTGTCTACTAAAAAAGGGCATTTGAGCCAAACATATTTGTTTTGAATTTATTTTTACTCAAAATAAAATCTAGCAAAAATTTCTATATTTTACATTTAAATCATCAAAAATATAGCCAAAATGTCTTCATTCCAGCTAAAAAAGTTAATTTTCAAAAAGAGAATTTACGTAAGTGCATGCACTTCTAATAGAGTAAATAAGGTATCTGTAGGTGTTTCCTCTTATTTAAATGTTCATATTATGTTCTTTGTGTAAGAAAGTTGACATTGATGAGGAATTTTACATTGTTAAAGATGTATGTTAATACTCATTTAAGCATTACATGATATCATATTTTTATTAAGCTTGTTTTTCCCACCAGTTTCTTCTGTTGCTCATTATCTTAAATTAGATCATCTTTTATTATTATATTATTTATATTTATAAAACTTTATGCTATATTTGTATAGGAATGAAGAAACCAGAGATCATCAGTCCCAGAAGTGTAAGTATTATGTATAATGTAGCACTTTAACACCAAATAAAAAACTAGTTGTTAGATTATAACACGCTCTGGCTGCTGATACCATTCACAGCCACACCCCCTTCTATTTCATGAGGCCTAATGTATTTATATGGTTTGAATGAGTTCTTGTTTGAAGATTAAAACCGTCATTATTATTGTTATTGACAGAGCATGAGACAGTCACATCATTCTGGTCATAGCAGTAGTGATGCTAAAGATACACAGAGTGAAAGTGATTCACCAAATAAAAGAAAGACAACATCACCTCCTCAAAGCAAAGAAAAAGTAAGTACACTACTATTTGTATTGCTTTTTAAACTCTTCACTTAATAAGACTTGAATAATGACTTTGAATTGTAATTATCATCTTTGACCTAAGCAATGTCAAAATTGATGTTGAAATGTTATGATTTGTGTGTAAAAAGTTTTTTTTATAAAAATAATCCAGTGTTACATATTATAGAGATTAATTTTATGAAGGTTTTTAAACTTATAAATTGTATTTATTTCAGAAAATTGTAGAGAAGGTAGAGGCACAAGTAGAAAAGAATATAACAAAAGAAGAAGCAGTTAAGAAATCTGGTAGCTTAACAAGAAGTGACAGTGTTAAGAGCAGAAGTCTTGATTGTTTGTCATCTTCAGAAGAAAGAACACATGCAACTATTGTAAAGAAAAAGCATCTGGGTATGTGACACACATGTCTAGAAAGTTCTAAAGCTTCTCACTAAATTGTCCAATTTTTTTTATGCTTCCCTTGTTTTGTGTTTGACTTCATAAAAAAATGAAATGATAATCAAAATACAGTTTAGAAAATAAACATTTGAAGTGTGTAACTCTAATTACTAAACTTGCTGTACTTGAAGTCTCATCAAAGGAAAGGAGTAAGTTGATGTAAAACTACTTTTGGCTGTGTACTTCTGTAAACCACTTTAATTTATGCGAGTCTGTGAAAATCATTAATTTTTGTAGCAGTGAAAATTTTTCTTCAATACTATTACGATACGAGTCACGTGTAATTTTATCTACATGAATGCCATAAAATTTTCAAATTATTTCTAGTAACGATTTGCAATATTTGTTGTCCTGCAGCAGTGTGATCTCTACATTTTTTGTCTTTAAAAACAATTCTGGGTCTTTATCTTTTCAGGTGGTGATGATGCAAGTCCAAGAGCACAGAGACTGAGTAAAAAGCTGGAGACTACTGCAGAAATTAATCCAAGAGACAGCGTGGGTTGGAGTGAAGATGTACTGGCTGTATTTGATAAGTTCAAGAAGGAAGAACCTGTGTCAGACACAACAGCTAACACGTGTGTGGAAGATACAATGGGGAACACTGAGAAAAACACAGCAGTGAGCAACAGTAAGATTTCAGAAGAGTTCAAGCCAGAAATGAAAGATACGAGAAAACTTCAGAGGAGTGTTACTGATTCTGACATGCAGTATAGGGAGTATGGGACAGAAGAAAGCAGTTTAGAGAATAAAGAAAAAAATAGTGAACATGCCATTATTTATGAAGAAGATGTTTCCAACAAAAATCTAAATGAAGAAGAAAAGGAGACAACTCCCCTAGCGAAAGACAACATTGGTGATAGTAATACTGATTCTGTAGCAGCAGTAACTGTGGAGGGTGATACACTGAGAAAAGATACAGAAAAAATACGTCCAAAGGAAGAAGCTGCAAGAGTTGTGGAAGCCTACACTGTTCCAAGGAGGAAAGCTGCCAATAGTATGGGTGTACCTAGTCACTATCGTAGTAGTACATCTGTGTTAGAGCAACACAGTCTTACAAATGCTATCTTTAGAATGAAAAGATCAGATAAGATTAAACAATTTATTGCAGAAAGAAAAGACAGTAAAGATAGTAAAAATGAGGAGGATATCTGGGTGAAAAGGACAGATGCAGCAACTACAAGTATAGAATCATCTAACACATCACTTGTTGAAGCACCACAGCTCAGTGCACCTTCATCTCCTGTGAATGAAAGTATAGGCAAAAAAACTGTTATAGATGCAGACTTACCAACACCCTCACCACCTGCAAAGGAAACACTGCTTAGTATTGAGGAACCACAGACAACTTTGTTACTCAGTGAAGTACATAGTAAAATGTACTGTAGTAGTGATGACATACGAGCAACATCGTCAGTAACAAAAATACCAATATCAAGGTCATTAAGTGATGGCACTGACCCCCAAAATCTAGCTACAGAAACTGAACCGAGTGTACCTTTAACACCAGAAGCAGTTGAAATAGTGGATGACTTAAAGAAATACATGGAAGCAAACTCAAAACATTCTAATAAAAGTATTCCGGCATTTCCTGCTGCAGGCAGCAGTCCTACTGTCAATAGTACTGATAGCACATCAACAGAAAGTCTGTCTGGTAGTATTAAACATATGCTTCACAATTTTGGTTTACGCATAACTGGACAAAAAACACCAAGCTCCAGCCCAGTTCAAAGTCCTAATCCAAGCCCTAGATCTAGTCAGTATTTGGAGAATTCCTCTTCAGATGAAACAAAATCATCATCATCTGCCAAAGAGACTCCACCTGAAACTCCAGAAAGAGAGAAAAAGTCACCAATGAATGTATACTCATTTGCACGATCTTACAGTCGGAAATTCAAGAACAAGGCTAGCAAGCAGTTTGTAAAAAAACGTAGTACATCTGATAGCACTCCAAACATTACAAATACTTATGAAAAACAACTTGTTGATTTGCTTGGAGGAGATAATGCTCCTGGTGGAACTACTATTGGGGCAAGGTATGCTAGGCAAGGAGGTTCACTAAACTACAATTTACGACATGTTTACTCTGAGTCATTGAATACTGTTGCAATTGATTCAGGGTCAGTATTATATGCTGCTTCGATAGCTGATATAGTTAGTGGAAATAACGCTGAGGATGATAACTCAACTAGAAAAAAAACTGTACAAGACAATATAAAAGCTTTTGAAGAATTGTCTAAATCGTTGTCAGTATCACCAATTCCAGCAATTAAGACTTGGCGCTGTGCATCAGCTATGTTCATGCGACAAGAGAGTGAACCAGATATTGAACCTTTATTTAAATCAATTGAAGAACGCAGGAAAGAGTTAGAATCATCTACTTCCATGACTGTACTTAAAAAGAGACCAATGTCAGAGTTGGTCAGTGATCCGAGTGATGGGTCATCAATATGTAGTTCTGAAAGTGAAACGCATATCAGCAATACAGGATCTCCTCTGCATTCTTCATCTTTACATCAAATAAAAGAAGAACTTAAAGGATCCATTAGTCTTTCCAGGAAATCTAGCAGTACAGACAATGATGATTTGATGCCAGTCATGATGAAATCAATTAAAGACAGATTTCGAGAACTACAAAATTCCATGGCAAAACCAATCCCGAAAAGAAATCCAAAAGAAGAGATTGAAGCTGAACGACTTGCTGCTTCAGTTGATAATGAAAGCAGCCAAAATGATAATAATTACATGGTTCATCAAGTTCAATGCACAGATTCTACAACATCATGTACACCATGTTCATCAGATGCACATAAATTAGATTCAATAGATTCATCAACATCATTTGTATCATGTCAGGCTGACACTTACCAAGTTGATACAGTGGATTCAAATCTATCATTTGTATCATGTTCTTCAGAAGTACCTGATGCTGTCAGTTCATTAAACAATTGCTTTGACTCTATGATTCCTCATCCAAACATAGATGACAGTGAAAGTGATTCAGGAAACAATTCAGAGTATGAGACTCCCCATGGATCGCTAGAAAATTTCTCTGATATTTTAAGTACATTAGATCAGCTGGATGATCTGCCTGTGGATTATGAGGATAGCATTGAAGATGAGTCAACGCTGGAAGCTGACATCACCGATGAATTATCTAAGACACCTTCACCTGATTTATTTTTCTCTTCTGTTGCTGGCAACACAGTGAAAACTGAATATGGTGATGAAAATAGTGTGGCACCAGAGAAATTACACATTAGTTAACTTAATACAATAAAACTGTATTTAAAATTCATTCTTTTTCTGTGCATGTATTCAATTTTTCATGTACTCAGATTGGTATTTGTCAATGTTCATAACATGGTGGGGTAGGGTCTACTCAAATGACACGTCCTATTTACAAGGTAAATGGAATATGCAAGTATATGTAATACCACATTGGTATTAATTGGTTATCAATAATATGCTGTCTATTTGCTAGTTTCAATCATTGTATGGTCATAAGTGGTATTGATAAACAGTATTCCGAGATAACAGTGATGTGATTAAATACTGTAAAATACTTTATTTTCGCTTAGAATTTGATTTTGCTATTTTCATTGAAGGGATGATTCAGTGAAAATAAAATCCAGCTAATATAACTTTTCTTCCTATATTTTACATTTAACTTGACAAAAATCAGTGAAAAATAAATTCCATACAAAACACCCAAAGAGTTTTTTCAGCGAAAATTAATTCCAGCTAAAATAAAGCATTTTACATTATTGAACTTTGACCCTGTTTTTGATATTTTCATATAGCAGGTCTTGATTACCAAGTGTGTGTCTTTATTGTACGTGGACCAAAAAGATAAGTGTTGTGGTCTCAATTATTGTTTCAACGATTAGGTCTGGGAAACAGAATTTAAGGTTAACACAATTCCTGAGTGACTTCTGAATTGAAAGTATCTTTGTAAAGTCTGATCCATGTATGCTTTCAACTGTAGTCCGTGTTTAAGGGGGGCAGTGTTGTCAAAGATGAAGATTTAAATTTGAAGGCTGGTATGTGTTTCTTTATCCAGGAGAAAATATATTTACATTTTGTTCCATTTCAAATACTACAGTCATTGTTTACTTCCATGCAATTCTCTTAATATGTAACTACTGTATTTAACTTAAAATTGTTGACTCTTTAATAATGTGGCTTAATGGGCATAACAATCACAGCATTATATTCAGAGGATTACATGGATGGAGGGAGGTAGGATGAATCCAAATGCTTTGATATGTGTCATTAGATTCAGGTTGCGCAGCCGATGGAATTAGTGATAAAGTACTATAAGAGGTAATATTCACTGGGCCTAAATTTCAATATTTTGTTGTTATACTTGGGTTTACAATTCAGTTTTGTCAATGTGGTCAATTCTAACCCATATTCCCTTAGATTTTTCAAATTTAATCCCAGTGAACATTTGAACCTTCTACAGTATGTCATTCTACACTAATAGAGTTTGAAAAATCCATATTGGTGGTCATTGTGTCAGATATCTTTACACAGTTAGCATTGCCATTAGAATGAGAAATAATTTATTTGAATCTTATTAAAAGAAATATTTAATAGCACATTGTGTAAATGAAAGCATCTGAAATTAAATACAAGTCTTCATGAATTTTAGTATCCCACAGCTGCCATTGGTCATTTTTTTTTTTTAATCTTGCTTCTAAATGGGTGTAATTTTAATTGTAAATAATTTTAAGTATAAAAGCATCTATTTTGATAAAATGCGTTATCAATTTTACAAAAACTGCTTAAGTTTTCACACAAATATAAATTTGTATTGTAACTTGGATATTGAATTTAAAATTAATCATGTGCATACAGATTCCAGTTTTAGTTGCAAACAATCATATTTGTGATAATTGTGTTTCTCTGATTGATTTCACTCTTATTCCACTTGGTTCTGCTGCATATTTTGCTAGCAATAAAATAATTTTAAATATAAAGAAATATTTTCAAACATTGTAAATAAATAAAGTTGCAATTTGATTTTCATTTTTTTTGTAAAAGTAAATAAACTACACTATTTACATTATGTCATCAGTCAGATGGAATTTAAACTTAATTTCTTGTTTAATCCTGTTCATTTTAATATTCTTGTTGCCAAATTGGCCTTTTAATGGAAAGAATAAAATTGACATTATCAACTATTTGACAAATTATTGTGTTAAGTATATTTTAATAATATTGATACATCAATCCAATTCTAGTTTTCTTGTCCGGACAATAGCCAATTCAATAAACTGAAAAAAAAATTGTAATGTTGAGGAAAAGTCCTATTTTTTTTACGCCCATTAAATATGATTTTTATTCCGATCACTACTGCTTAATAAAAAATTGAAGTCTCCACAAATAATGACTTAAATGGTCATGTTGATACCAGTGTTGAAGCGCTCCAGAAGCATTTTGACTCTCTACTACACCAACAGAACAATGCCGGTAGTGTAAGTGTTTCAGGATGCTTACCACAACAAGTACCCGAGTCATCTTCTCTAAGTTTGCACATTTTTAGTCCCTGTTTGGACGAAGTCCTAAAACGGGGACTTATAATTCGGTCTCCGTCCGTGCGTCCGTCCGGAGTCATATCTCAGAATCCCTTGGACCGATTCCGTTCATTCTTTGCATGTGCCTAGTACTTTATGTGGGACATATGCACATGCAGTGGTTTAGCGATTTGATTCAAAATGGCCGACTGGCAGCCATCTTGTTTTTTCAAAATGTTGTATTTTGGACATGCTTTGTCAGTTTTCACTCAAACTTGGTACATACATGTTAGGATACATGTCCATGATGATTTATTTCACAATTTGATCAAAATGGCCGACTGGCAGTCATCTTGTTTTTTGAAAATGTTGTATTTTGGACATGCTTTGTCAGTTGTCATTCAAACTTGGTACATAGATTATACATGTTAGGATACATGTCCATGACGATTTATTTCGCAATTGGATCAAGGATGGTCGACTGGCAGGCATCTTTTCTTTTTTTTTTTTTTTTATGCGGTATCTTGGACATGCTCTGTCAGTTTTCATTCAAATTTGGCACATACATGTACTTTATACATGTTAGGATGCATGTCCATGACAATTTGACAGCCATCTGACTTTTTGGCCTTAGTGCTATATTTCCACAATTTATGTACCATTTTCATTCGAATTTGGCACATATCAGTGTGTTTCATAATCAGATCAAAGATGGCCGAATAACGGCTGTTTTTATTTTTGGCCATATTACTACTACAAGGAACACGTGTTTTGATGTAAATAAACAATCTGTTGTATACGCCACTTGGAACTCAAATTTCATTAACCAATAATTTAAAGCTAAAAAATTGAGTAAAAAAAAATACAAAATTGAAATATTTTTGTTACTGTTCAGAGTGCAGCATATGATTAACATTTTTTCAAAATTTTTAATCAGTTATACTAATACTGCATTTTTCATGTTAATGTGTACATAATTTCCTTTGTAAATCAAACTGTATATACAGTAATTCTTGAATTGATGTCATCCAAATTACACAATTTGAATCTTTTCTTCAAATATAGTTTCTATGGTGTTGGCTAAGCCTCGATCTGGAAGTAATTTGATTTATGGAAGTAACCAAACCAATGGCTCTTGATTGCCAAAAAGCAAATGAGACCATATGCCCATTGGAGTTGAATAAACCTGAACTAACCTTATTCTGGCTTGGAATAAATCTTTCCAGAAAACTAACTTCAATGAGTAAATTACATTACAACTATACAAGATTTCTTTATAGAAAATTAGGATTTCCTTCACATGGTTTATAAATTATAATTGCTGTCCAATAGAAATTCAACCCAGTCATGTTTCATAAATTCATCTCTTCATGCATTTGACAGGAAGCCTGTGAATCATTCATACCATCACACACAACAATGAAAATACTACAAGGATTTGTTTTTCAAAATTGTTGTATTATTAAACACAACTTCCCACATTTCAAGTATACAGTAACAGCTTAATGACAAAAATTAATACAAAGTGCAGTTTACGATTCAAAGTTGCTATTTTAGAGGCCAATCACAGCTGATTACCAAAAGCAAAACAACGTGAAGTATACCAGGAGTGTTTGAAGTATATGAAAGGTACCAAATATAAGCCGATATTTCGGTTCCTAAATTTTTACTTTAGGAACTGAATTAATATAATCTTGCATTGAGGTTCTTAAATAAAAATATTAAGAAACAAACAGTATGAGTTGGCTCTACATCTCAAATATTAGTAAGTGCACATGAACCAAAAATGTTGTATATTGTATGCTAAAACAAAACAGACACACCTTTGTCATTTATGTAAGCAAATATAGTATACTTGGTATAATGACCATTCTTCTGAGATGGCTTTACCATCCAAGAGCTGTGTTACCAGATGTTTTATTAATGTACCAAATTTCCCCTATGTCACCAAAATTACAGGAATGTAAATTTGACATTTAAGCATTTACTATCAGAATTTCTAATAGAGGAAATATGGCACTGCAGTATTTATATTTAAAGTAAATCAGACGCACAATAATAGGGGTGACAAGTTATATTATGTGAATCCACTGCTGACACTGAAAGAGCTCAATTTAGGTATTGCAGACTATTTTTCACAACACTGAATGCTTTAATAAGTCGAGAAAACAAAGCAGTAATTGAATATTATTTGGAAAAATAACTATCTTCATCACGATACATCTAGATTAAATAAAGTTATATAATATAAATATACTGATAATATCATTTTCAAGCTGTCTGAATAGTGTATGGATTTTAATGTTAGAGGTCATATAGCCGGATTTTCTTTCAAATCTAATATAAAATGACTGTACATCTACATAGCATAGCAAATCCAAGACTTCTCTATATAAACATCAATGCTAACAATAAATTCAAAGAATAAATCAACACTAGACAACACATCTCGTCCAGTATTATATGGGAATTTAACCATGTTCTACAATAAAATCAAAACTTAACCAATGTAAATTAAAACCAACCCTCAACTATTTTCCTCTTTACACACAGTATCAGTCACTGTATTAAAATCAACATACCACATATATATCAGAAATGTAACTTGTGAGAAGCTTTCAGTTTATTTTTAATTTCTCATGCAAACCTGATCAAGTTAACTGAATAAGTAACAACCAACGTGCTTACACTTCATATCTGCAGTGCAGTAAACATGTCAGACTGTCACAAATCATTCACACATTT